AACCATTTATACTGCTATTTTCACCCTGTGGTTTGTACCATAAAGTATCTATGTTTTACTTAGCTTAACCAATTCCTATGATTTTTTTCTTAAAAATCGCTGGATTTTCGTATTTTCCCATTCAAATGCTCAGAAGCGAAGCCGGTGAGGCAGCAGGAAGCTGAGCCTCACCTGGGACTGATCAACCTCTGGCGAACTGCACTGGCTGCCATTCTATGGGGGCAGCTCCTCCTGTCTGTAGGCCGGTAATAAAATGGCTAAAAAACATTTAATATATGGACTGATTTTCCATAATTTCGCTCATGTATATAATGTACAGTGTTTTTTGTCACCAACTGTGTGTGTATCGTGTTTTGTGTGCGGAGGAGCGATCAGAAACTACAGAGAACAGACTCGAGGTGAGGCAGGCAGTTCTCTTGCCTCATCGCTAGGGGCGCTCATGATCCCAGATATTGTGGCTCCACGACTGCAGAGTAAGACACAGTGAGCTAGCCATGGAGCTAGCCATACAGTAAATAAATAAAGTACAGCGATATATTTGTTTTCTCATCTCTTCCGACGTAAACATGAAAGACTACATTTCTATACTTAGTTTTCTAAAGTGGATTTTCAATTGAAGCAGGAGATAATAACTAAAGGAAGACCAACACCGTAGCTGAAAGTTTTGCTTCGAGAGTTTGACGATTCTCAAACGGAGTAGAAAAGACATGCTGAGGATAGACTTGGCTTTGGATGAACGGATATTTTTGTGCAGAATTAGCGGTGCATGGATTTCATTGATAGATAAAGGTAAGACAGCAATAAGATCTTTTTTTTATATAAAATGTGCGTATTTTGGGCTACAGTATGTATGTCTAAATAATTCAGTGAAATAGAAGCGGTAGCTAATCTACCACAGCAATTATTTATTAATTAAACATTAAGCCTAAAACATACTACAACAACAGACTTGAATGTTCTGTTCTGTGTGCAAAATTCTTGAATGTTTTTTGGTGTTAAATCCTAAAACATGAAGTGGCATTGTTGTCAGTTGCTATGGCAACGAGTCTGCGTAGCTTGGCGAATACAGATCACTTTGCTGTGGATCATAGCACGAAATCAATACCTACATTTCTAAGTTTCACTGAGTTAACACAACTATGGATGACATGTAAATGATTAGTCTTTTTGCCCTCCAGCGTTGAATGCTTGCGCGAAATTTCCCTAGGTACAATAACGTGTGGTGTCTAAGTCATAAGTCAGTACCTGACTGTATAGTCAACAGTTTTCCACCCGGGAGACCCGGGTTCGAATCCAGGCTGGGCAAAAAGTTACAACAGTGAAATTGAGCTATCCAGTGTGGGTCCTTAGGCAATGTATAGCCTAGGCAGCCTATATATAGCCTACCTCATACCATGAGAGAGATTGATATGCATAACATGCCGGCTCAGA